AAATTGATCTGTCAGCTGAAGGGCTTTTGAAATCAATTTTAAACGTTTGGATTAGTTAGTACACCTTTCAGAAATATTTCAATGTTTGACACTCAAAAATGGAAAAGTAGAGGAACGTCTTCGTATTTGGGAGACAGTTGTCTATTGTTTTTTGACTTACAATGCAGAGCTGTGGTAAATGAATTTATAATCAGTTTAAAGAAGTAATTTTCAGTTTGAAAAACAAGGGAAACTGTTATTCTCGGTGATGAGAGTGTGCAGTACACCGTGGTACCCAAGATGTTCTTTAGCACTCCAGCTAGGTGGGGTAACCAAACACAAGAATAACCTTTCAGTGGAAGGAAATAAATAGGATTCCTCAGGGCAGTATTCCACAGTGAAATTCAGCTTATGCTATGGTTCCTTGCACCCCTTCTACTCAGTTCTGTGCTTCTGGTCTCACTTCTCTCCAGTGAGGCAGGCTGAGATTGTCCAGGCCTCCCTTTTGTGGCTGGGAAACTGGTGGGCTGGCTGTGGACAAAGAGCTTAGTGCTTTGGTCAGTCCAGTACCAGAAACTCTTGGTGCCTGCTGCCCAAAGGAGAGTAATTGCTTTCTGGACTTCACACTTCTTTTCCCTACCCTGCTCCTTCAAGGGCAGCTGAGTTCAAAACAGACAGATGTTGACTTTAATCCGTGCTACAAATTAATGTTTTCTCTTATTTACCAATATATTCCTTCTGGAACAAATCAGGATACAGGCTACTGGCAGTGCTGTCAGTCTCAGAGTCTATTTTTAACCTTCTTCCCCTCTCTTGGCACATCAACAGGGTTTTTTCCTCCACCGTGAGAGAACTCAGCAGAAGGAATAAATAATAACAACCAAACCAGATTAATTAAATTCAGTGTCACCTTCAGTGCTAAAGTTGGAGGAAATAAAATTACTTGAGAGAAATCTACTTTAAAACATCAGCACCAGTCCCTGGTGCGGAACAGTGCAGCTTCCCTCTGCTTTGGGTGGAGAACGGGTCTCTAGCTCCTGAGTGAGGGTAACTCCTTCCCCTATTGCTCCTGGGGGCTGAGAGGCTTTTCCCTCCAGTCAGGAAACATCAAACCATAAAGCCTACCCAGTCCAACCAAACCCCACTGTAGCCAGGGGAATAGCCACCGTTTATCCATTTGGGATGAATGTCAGGTGAAACTAACAGCCCTCACTCAAAACAGAGGCAAAATACAGGGCATGAGAGGCAAAGCGATTTTCCTCGCTATTGTCTGGCTGCTGTGTCTAGCAGAGATGCAGAAGACATTCCAAAGAAAATGTGCTTCAGGGAAGAAGTGAGAAAGGCACAGCTGGAGAAAGCCCTAAGAGCAGGGCTTCCAGAGAATCCTTTTGGGCAGAGTGCTTGCTAGAAAGGGACTAGCCTTCTGTGCAAAAAAATACCTCCTGTTATTTGTTCCCTGTCATATTTAAGAAAAAAATTACTCTTGTGCCACTTAGTAAATAAACAGGATTATATTGGAGATACTGGCTCCCACTTTTATTTTCTCCTTCCTGAAACATCACGAAGAATTTTGCATAAATAATAAACCTTTCATCATTGTTGCCACAGTTTGGTCTGAAAAGATCTTTTCCCAACTCAAAGCTGGGATGGCGAGAGAGCTGCAGCTCAGAAACTATCTAAGAGCCTGAAGAATGAAGTGTGTGCCCGTGGATGTGAACACCCTTGATTCGCGTACACAATTATCTCCACGGCAAAGCCATTAATTCTGAGAACTGCGGAATACTACCCTGGCTTTGTAACTTTCCTAGGCTCTTAAGCAGATCACTGCACTGTAATAAGATATTGACATATCTCTTCCCACACCTCCATGTGCCTTCCAGCTCTATAGCCTGGTTCCCCAGGGAGCTGGCTGCCAATAGTGGTGATAGGTGAGTTTCCAGCAAATTAACAGAAAACTTTTCATTAGTTCATCTGTTTTGGTTCTTAAAAGGAGATGGGATCCAAGGGCTGAGGAAGAGATGGGGTGTTAGTGCCCCTGGGGGAACAGCCTTTCTGCCTGAGCTGTTGGTGTAGGTGTACCTGTTTCTGGGGCTAGCTGGGTTACAGCCGAGGCTGGTTGTGGACCTTGTTCTGGACTCTGACCCTTACACTGACTTCCCAGGTTGGCCTTGGACCTGTCTTATAATTGTAAGTGTGCCTGAAGATGTGGACTCTTAGCTGAACCTGACTGCCATCTCCGAGTCTACTGTTTTCACCTTGGTTGGGTACTGTGGGAGGGAGCCTATTCCCTCTATTTCTTAGGGAGCAGCAAGAACTTAATTATTGCTGAGCTTCCAGCAGCATCTTGTGGCTGAAACTTTCTATCTTTCTGATGGGCTTTGAGATCTGTCAATGGAAAACACAGAACAAAGTGCACCACGTAGTTATGAGTAATTTCTGCTGTTAGTGAGAATGATACATCTGACTTGTGATCTAGTACAGATTAGCCAGATGAATTTTTACTGCTGGGTGCTGATAGAGCTGAAGTTTGTGACACCCTTTTGGATGCCTAAGAGGCTCTACAAGAAGAGCTATGGGGGGAAAAAAAAAAGAAGTGGCAAGTGTGGATCAACTGATAATTTTCATAGCTGAGGAACTGCATAACAAGTATGGACATTGTTGAGCTGTTTAAGAACTACTTATTTGTTTCAAAGACTTCCTTCTCACCGGTATCACCCATTATACCTTTGAAACCTGTATTCTCACACAGCTCTTCAACTCACTTCAATTTTAAAGCCTCTGTTTTGATATTGATTACATGTGGCAGATTGCAAATAGCCTCAATTTGTGTCGCTGCTTGCTTTCTACAAGTAGTGTGTAACACTCTTCCCGGGTACTTTAAGTGGCAAGAGGACAGAGTCTGTTCAATTATATTTTATTTCAATTAGAAGGCAATCCTTCTGGCTACATGGGCCTGTATCTTTGCAGGGTGATACTCTACTTTCTGCAGTCAGGAAAAAACTCATACGACACATGTGTGCCTCCTAATTGAAATAGTGGCCTGTGACTTGGAAATCTGCATCCAAATTTTAGCTTTGAAAGAAGCTTGGGCAACCCTTTTAACTTTTCGTATGCCTGTTCCCTGTTTCTAAAGCTTGCACAATAAAATATTGTGCTGTGCACTTAGTCAACATCTATTGAGTGCCTGGCACAATGGAGCCTAACTTTGATTAAAAGCAATACCAGAAATCAGTAACAGTCTGCTTCACCCATGAGTGATGAATATCGAGCCTGGATATTGCATTTGTGTTGCTCTCATCACCTTCTCCTAGTGGCATGGCTTTGTCAGAGGCTGTTGTTAAGCCGTGGTATGTTTGGGATGCAGCTGCCCAGAGGTCTGCTAGCCCTAATTTATCATCTGGTGGAGCTCTTCTGATGGGCCACCGGTAAATGCTTCATGAGCAGGTCTGTCTGAGTCCTTGGAGAAAACTGTCTTAGCTTTAATTCTGCTGTGCATATTGCTACAGCCAGTCAGTAAATAAGTAAGGCAGACAAACATACCGAAACACCCAATAATGGCAGGGGGATGGGCACCCGAAATGTGCAATTTTTAATAAAAGTGTTTAATGAAGGAAAGCTAGCACTCGACTGTATTATTAAATCATTTTACATTTAGCATTGTGTGAGCCTTGTTTTTTCTGATAACCTTTTTCTAGGGCAGAAAAGCATCAAGTGGAACACAGGAGTCCTGAATTCTTTCCCTGACTTGTGCCATAGACAAGCTGTTCCTCCTGGTAAGACCTATGCTACCTCGGTTTCCTCTGGCTTTAAGGAAGTTTTCTCCCTCCTGCAGTACTATGATCATGCATATATGAGTGTATCTAAAAGGCTACATAAATGTGCAGATATCACTGAAATTCTTGAATAATATTGATCATAGGAGGCAGGTGAAATAATTGATAATTGCTGTGCCTTCACTACAAGAATATCAATATGCTCTGCAAACAATAACAGTGATGACTGCAGAGAACAGAAAATTTCTGAGGTATATAGTGACTATTACCAATTTCTCTAAGGTTTTTTAATCTAGAGAGAAATTGTAGAAAATTAATCAGGGGCATAATAATTAAAACTGAAGAGGGACCATCTTGACCTGGGAATGTATGGTTCGAGTGTGACTCTTGGATGCTGCGTGCTAAATCACTTCAATAGTGAGACAGCTAGATGTAAAGGATTGGCTAGCACAGAAAGCAGCTTCAGAATCTACTCTGTAAACACAGCAGTGTTGCAAAGCTCTGAGTGCCAGCTCAGAGAGGAAGACACTGCTTGTATTTGAGTGCCTGTGACTGCAGGCAGCTGAGAGCGGTGAAACCACACACTGCTCCAGTCTTGGCTTCCAGCTCTGCAAGGTGTGGGCAAGGACTCCAGCAAGGCAGAGAGTGGAGAAACTGCTGCTGTTCATTATCTTTACCGGTCACCTCATTTGGATGAGAGCTGAGTAGGAGTATTTGCTTGGGTACAGGGTGAAGAGCATGGAAAGATGATCTGAAGTCAAGGAACTGTCTGAAAGTGCCTAAGCCTGATATTAGCGAACAGCAGTGCTCAAAGGCGGAGGAGGATACTAAAGCTAGGCACTCTCTGGAACCGAGCAGCCTATCAAAGCTAAGACAGCAACTGTTTGGGACCTCTTGGCATCACAATCTTAGGAAGAACAGCAACAAATTCAGGAGTACTATGGATTCAAAAGCAAAATAATAGCTGTTGCCAAACTTCCAGCAGCCACATCTACTTTGAAACTGAGGTTGGGACACTGATGGAAAACATTCTGAAAGAAAACAACCTGTGCTGGCCAGGTCCTGGGAAAGCAGGTGGCCAAAAGAGGTCTTTCCTTCTTTGCTCCATTATGATCTCTGGTTAAGTGTTCTTGTCCACGTGTGGAAGAAGCAGGAAGAGCCTCTGCAAATTACTTCCCAGGTCTGTTGCCAAAAGCAAAGAAACCATTTTGGATAAGAGCGTGGGTTGATTAACAATCTTCTTGAAGAATGTCTGGCCAGGACGCTGAGGACTTTGGAGGAGAAAACCTCTCAGACAAGTCTCGGATGATTGCTACCCTCCCGCCATATGACATGGATGACCAGCTCCTTCCCAGGGAGCCACGGAGTGCCTGGTGCTGCTTGGCATGGACCCTGGTGGTAGTCACCATGAACTCCCTGGTCTTTTTAATGAATTTGATCCTGATGTTCGTTATCTTCACCATTGTGCTACTTCCTACCATTGTGGTGGTTTACTTTGGCTTCCAGTGCCACTCTCGGGTAAGTAAGCCTTGCTCCATTTGGCTGCTAACAGCCACCTCTAAGGCAGGGCCATCTATAAGGGTTTTGTTTTAGCCCATGGGGAACAGTGGCTGTAAAGACAAGGCTAGGCTCCCCGAGCTTTGGCTTTGTTTTCATAAAGGGTGTGTACGCGTATAGATTTTTTTTCATAAGGGCAGGGTATGTGCATAGACTGGGCTGACAAGAACAGGTTTATGGCGGTTCATGCTGACCTGAAGTTTCTTGGTTGTACAAGGGAGCGGCCTCTCCTGCTTGGTGCCTGTGGCACAGCTGTAAGCAAGGCTGGCATGTGCATTTGTCTAGGGAAGTACAGGTTTTATGGTTTCTGGACTAATTGTCTTAAAGTAGTTGCTTGGCACCTATAGATTCAGTGTCAGTAAGTTAGCACAGAAAGGCTTTTGTTGGAGAGGCAGGGAGAACACTGACAGCAGCTGCCTGTGACTGCCGAGCTCCTCGGGGACTGAGATGGCACGGGACCCCTTGGTCCTGATCCCCTGTGCACTCCACTTTGTACACTTGTTTAAGTGTGAAGTGATCAGAGATAAATCTACGGCATTTCACAGCAAGCTCGCATGAGATGCCGGTCTTGTGGGCACACCTGAATGCTGGCAGGAAGGAGCAAGATACATTTTCACCCCTCCTTTCTTCCAGTATTGTGGGAAATAGAAGCTTGACTGGGCAATAAAGTTTATTCCCGCGAAAATAACAAGCAGCTGTGACAGGTCAGGTGAATACACTCCCTGGCTTGACAGAGTTGCTGTTTGCATTTTAACGTCACAACATTTCTCTCTTTTCTGTGACGTCTGTTACTGAGAGCTGCCAAGCTGAACTCCTCTGTAATTCGCACAAGCCCTACATGGGTTCTGACATGGTTTGTTACTTTCCATTTAAGTAAGCCCTCTACAGTGTTTGTCATATTTGATCTGCCTAATGGCTAATTATAGAACTAGTAAAGTCTAACAGAATATATAATCCCCTTCTTACGCCAGTCTAACATTCATGTGTTTTCCCAAATGTGCTGTACAGTTTCTCACACCAACAAATGAGCCTACTTTTGTCAGTAAGGGCTCTGGCTGTGTACATGTCTGTTCCAGTTGGTTGTTGTCCTCTGGATTTCATTATTTCATTACTTATAAACTTCTTCTTGGTATATTTCTATAAATATCTTCAGAATCACTTGACTAAGCGTGCATGTGAAAAAGCAGTTCTCCTGTTTTCCTCGCAGGCAGTAACTGTTAGACCAGCTCAATATGACTTCTTTTGCTCATTATTCTAAGTTAGAAGAGCTCTTTTACTTCCTACTTTGGGGAAAAACCCCACACACTGTAGTACCTTCTCCCAGCAGGAAGAATTGACTCAAAATATAGATGCTATTCATCTCCCCATTCCACAGAATCTGAACTAAAGGGAAGATTATTTAAATGTTCTCAAACTGATGTATTTACCTGAGAAATATTGAAAGAAGAAAGCTTTTCCCCTTCCTTTTACTGAAATCTGTGCATCCTAGCTAATCACCCACATCCTTGGGACCTCTGTCTGAGCGAGCAGATCCTAGTGTGGGTGCTAGGAAAGGATCCAACCATGCAGCAGGGCTCAGCCATTTGCCCAGTTTAATCCAGTAAGGCTCTGCTGACTTCTGTGGAGCTGTGTGTGGATATACCTGTGGAGATCTCGCTCCACAGTGAAGCAGGAGACACCTTCTCTGCCTAGCTGAAGTGTAAAATCACATTTCCCAGATGTGTAAAATGTCACTCAGCTCTGGGAGAACAGCTTCTTTGGCAGCACTTCTAGTGCCCGTGATTTATTCTCAGGAGCTGTGTGTGTGGTAAAGGTGCTCATTCTGTAGGTGGAATCTTAGTTTGCTCACTTGAGGCCTCTAAACCCTGGGACACGACAGCATGCTAAGACATACTGTTGGCTGCAAACATTTATAGCTTTGGGGGATGTGCTGTAACTTTCCAATACAGCCATTGCACTGTATTTTTCAGCTGACATCCTAGCAACACGAGTTGTCAGCCCACAGCTCCCTGTCTCAAAGCTCCCTGACAAAGGGCCTGTGCTGTTATTGTTTTCTCAGTACTGATGTATTTGCTGGTCTGAGAAGTTTGGCTTTGATTTTTTATTGCCCTGAAATTACAACAACTCATAGCTGCTGTTACTGAAAAGCTGTTTGTGATCTTACAAACTAATGAACAGGGAGACATCTGTCATGGTAATTGTTTTGTAGAACAGGGCAGACGCAAGTGCTGCTGCTAGTTGGAGCGAAGCATAATTCATAGAGAAATCATGTACCTCTGGGTCAGGCAATTCCCACTGTGGCTCTGACACCTTCTGGAAGTGTTTGACTATGGGATGCAAATGTATGTGATGCCCAACAGAGTAAAGTTGGAAGCTCTGGAGACCCTACAGAGAGCAAAAGTGGCTCAGAGGGGTCCTGATCTACCTGAATAGTCATGCAACCCTTCTTCATTGTGGGTTGCGACACTTTCCTTTACAGTCCATGGCTGTTAGGATTTTCACATACAAAAGGGCAGGTGAGTAGAATGACTTTTGTTTTATTGAAGAGTACGTCTTCACAAGAAATAACCTAATAAATTCTCCCTGGGAAAAAGTGCAGTGTGAGCCATTGCCTTGGTAAAATGGCTGGTCTGTCTCCATAAGTGCAGTGTGGATGCAGATTCTGTAAGACATGAGGCTTTTTAGGGTAGGTTTAAGAGGAGATTGCCTGTAAAGCCCTTAAATCAATTTTTCCTATGATCTGAAACTGGTCCTTGAAAGTCATAAATAGGGACTTCAAATGGGAAATAATATGAGGACCGCCTCCCAGAATTACCTCTTCCAGCTTCACTATGCTTGACCCTCATCTTGGCAAGTTCTGCTTTGCACACACACTGCTCTCCAGTTGAAGGCTTTGAGCACATGCAAAAGTTTTTTCGAGCACAGCCAAGTACATTAGAACTGAAAGCAACTGTGTTGCTGTTAGCTGCATGGAGCCTTTTAACACAGACTTTAATAGGCATAGAAAGGGATTGTGGCAGTATGGCTTGTAAAGAGCAGTCTTTTCTCTGGGCTACTGTTTTTCAATGCCTTCCTAGTAGCCAGAGGCCGATTTCTGCACTGCAGATCCATTAGGCGGATTTTTTAATTTTTTTTTTTAAAGTATGATGGGTTGTGTTTCTTGTACTGCTGAAAGAATATGGCAGAAGGAAAGGAAGCTAGGGGACATGGGGATTGCCTGTAGCATTTCTTAATGCAGAACAACTGAGTGGCTTGACTGGGATCTCCTGCTGCCAGGATGAAAGGAGTGCTTTAAATACCATTCAGCAAGGATGGGTTAGTGTGCTGGATGCTTTGCAGCAACGTGGGGTGAATGGGCTTTCCTGGCAGATTTTGCAGTACAAAGAGGTGCTAGGAGGTAGAAATGAGCACAGCATGTACACAGAAGACAGAACACAAAGGGGTCTGTTCCAGGGCAGGAGTCTGGAGAGTCTCCAGCCAGCGGGTAGCTATGGAATGACCAATGTCTGTCTGCAGAATCTAACATCTTCCTGTATTTTTATTTACTTTGTTATAATTTCCAGTATGTTGTGCCACCCACATGGCTGTAGCAGCAGGAGTCCTCTTTATTTGGTTTCTGCCTATCAAATGCTAAGCTGTGCTATTCTGATGATTTAATAAAGATTAGCGTTTCCTGCTTCAGGATCAGTGTGCAGTGCTCTTGTGTCACAGTGATGCTGGAATAATTGAAAGCTTGATTAAAATGTGTTGTCGGTCACACGGTGTAGCCTGAAGATTGCTGAGCTCAGCCTGGAGAGAGGGAAGAGGTGCGTCTTTCTCTGAAAGCACTAGAAACTCAAGGGTACTTTGGTCACCACTCCTATCCACCACCAGGTCTGTGACAAGCTCTGTCTCACTCTTTCCACAGGTGCTGCACTCAGCTGCCCGCTACTGCAAAAGCATGTTGGATGACAACAGCTCTTCTGCCCTCATTATCCTTGGCTTCGTCATCATGTCCCCTCTCATTGTGGTGGCCATGGCTATCTACTGCAGCCTGGCAAGGCGTCTCCGTCTCTTCATGTGCTTCCAGCCATACAGCAGGGCCGTGTACAAGGGGGTGAAGTGGCGCTGGTACGAGGAGGGAGGCCTGTGCAGGTGTGCCAAGGGCTGGAACACTCAAGTCAAGGCCTGGGTATGAGTTTCCAGCACCAGAAGACCTGCCCTAGCCAGCACCCTCTTCTCCCTGTCCTGTCCCTCCCCACCATCGCCTCCCAGAATCACCATCCTGAGGGCCCTGCAGATGAAGGCCGTGTAGTACCTAGATGTGAGAGGAAGAGAGATCCGTTAACGAGCCATCTCCTACAGCTTTGTAAGTGGGTAGGATTCTGCCCATGATGAGAGAAATACAGCAAACACAAGTCCTGGATGGTAAAGACAACGTTGAGCTCTGAAAAGAACAGGGACTCCTCCCAGTGCCTGTTGCATTAAGAGCCCAGCACTGTTTCCAGTCTTGACAGCATGTTCTGCCTCACATGGGACATAGAGTACATGTTTATAGGATTAAACAGTGGTGGGAGCGGCTGCTGACTTTGCTACCTGCCTCAGAGAGGTCTCTTTGGGAAAGGCAACCTTTGGTGAAACATCCAGCCAAGAGGAAGCAACTGTGGTTCTCCCAAGTGTTGGACTGCCAATGTTTCTAACCTCTTGCAAAGGTGTCTGTAGGTCACTGCCTTTGTGATTTTGGGGATCCAGCACTTTCCTACACGTCAGATATCCTTCCCCCGCTTAGCAATCCTTCTTTCCCATAGTCTATAGTAGTGCTTGTGCTCCTTTCACTGTTCCCGAGTCAGGTCACTGGGTTGGCTGTGGAAACAAATGCTGATCTTTGGGTCTCTTCCCTGACAGCTGCTGATCTGAAATATGCTTGTCTGGTAACGGCTGATGGTTATTAATCAGCAAATAGCTCCTTGTCCTTTATGCTGTGGTCAGGTGGTTTTGTCTGGGGCTAAATATGGCTCAGGTCCAGTTTTAGAATTCCTGGCAGGAGGAGGTGAAGAATCATGGTGGCTGCTGAGCACTACAAGTTCTCCCAGGTCTGGGCTAAGAGCTTAGACCTGTGAGGAACAGCGTATAATGTCTTGTTTTGAGGGTCAGAGATACCTAGATTTAGGGTTAGTGCTGCAGTTTGAGAGGAAAACTGGAAAGGGTCAAACTGACTGTTGAATGCTACAACTGAGTGAAAAACACAGTGTATGTGAGATGGTATGGCAGGTAGGGAAAAGCATGGCAGCTTGATGCATGATTCTCTCCTTTTAAATCGCTGTGGGGCTCTAAAGTTCAGTTAGTGGGGTCTGTGTGCTACTGATCACTGCAAGCTGTGTACTCCCACTGGCTGTTTTTCCCCTGTCTCACATATATAACCATTTTGTGTTATGTATAAATAAAGATCGTGCCAAATCTCCACTGAGGGAGTTTTTCTCTGTTCCGCCTCAAAGCGCTGGCTGCATCAGTGATGCCCATTGTACCACAGCACATATCACTGGAAGTTGAAATGTAATTTCTGTTTTCTTTCTGAGGATTGATTTTTCATCTATGTAGCCTGCAGAGCCCTAGTCCCACCCAGAGTAATAACCAGTGGTGGCTACAGGTGAAAGTGAATTGAACTGGCAGGAAACACCCAGTGCATGGACAGTGGGACACTCGGTCCAGGCACCAAAACAGACAAGAACAACACAGGGACGGCTGGACGTAAGCACGGTACTGTTGTTGGACACCTTGTGTTGAGAGACTAGAGCCATTTGTTTGGGCTTTGGCCATCACGTTGCCTTGTGATGGTCACAGTCTTAACTTTGGACTCAGGCAAGCAGGCATCTCTGTGCAGCTACTTGTGCGGTGAACAGATGGGCAGCAGCGCAATATATCTACTTTGCTGGCTCCATGTGTGTGTTCAACTGAGTCAGTCTGCCAGCCTTTATTGCTATTTATCCCATCCTGGCAGCTGCATTAAACCAAAGCCTCAACAAACCACCTCCACAATACTTCAGGTGCAACTGATCTGATATTTTTCACTCACAGTTCTAGGTGTTGCTTAATGTTTCTGTGTACCAAAGAGGAATGAACAAGATTGTTCCATCCCAGAACCTGAGTGGTTGAAGGAATATGGAGTTTGCATTTTAATGTTTTTCCATTGCTCCAGGATTTTGCAGGGTGAAAGTGCTAACTAAATTGTTGTGATGCCATTCAGGAGAGTAAGAATGCATTAGCATTTGCTCAGGCCTGTTATATGAGCATAATGGACTGCCTGACTTGAAAAGGGAAATAAAAGTGCAGCAAGTAATTGGTTTGAGCTTCTTCCTTTAAGCTAGAGACTTCTGTCCTTCCATAATAGGATGTCTATTCTGAAGCTCCAGGCTTTAATGATTACTGTTACATCTTTGGATTCTTTGAAGCAGTAAGAAGAAGAAGTTTCTTTTCTGTAAATACTTTGAAGCTGACAGATGAAGTGGATGGCAAAGGCGGTACTTCTACATTCCCACTTCACTGTGGGACACAGACAGCAGTGGATTGGCTGATTGTCTCCTAGCAAAAACAACATAAAACACGATGAGGGTGACACATGCCTCTGTATGGCTTCCATGCAGACTACTGTATACAGTGTTTACAAATACCACCCTCTAAAAGGTCCCCGAAACACTACATTTTCTGTTTCTGCTTGCCCTTTGTTAAAACTAAAGATCCGGGCTCAAATAAACATTGCTGACTTTCCCGTGTCCTGCAGATCATCTGATAGATGTGCCCTCATCTGCCTGGGACCACCTTCTGCTGTGATTTCTCCCCTGGGGCAACAGGAGTGGGTTTGCTCTAACCTGTTCCAAAAGGTGCTTTGGCAGCAGGTTGCAGTGCATTTGCATCCGTGCAGTGACAAAATCCTGAGGGATAGTGGTAGTCCCCCTTTGATCTGCTTGCAATATGGTGGGAGAGACACACACAGGAGAGAAAAATTTGGAGAAGGCATCAGCAAGCTGGTCTGCCCCAGGGCTAATAAAACAGTCCTCCTTCAACTAGTTCCTTTAATAAAGAGCCAGCTTAGGGTCGGGAGCACATGATCATCTCATGTTGTGCCTCAGCCCATGAGAAATGAAACATCTCTAAAAAAAAAAAAGAAATTGCAATTGATCATACTGCTGACTCTGTTCATTGCCATTCTTCCCTTTTGATGTGGCCTTCTGTTTCCTCCCTACACCTCTGCTGTTGGTCTCTGTCTCATCTTGAAGAGTTAAAAGGAAATAGTTGTAAATTTCTGACAGGACTGAGGAAAAAAGAGAAGTTCTGTTGCATGAAAAGGAAATACTGTGCTACAGGACAATAAGATTTTGCCTGGAGGCAATGTTTGCTGGCTGGGTACAGATATTTGATATGAACTGTTGTTCCTTTTGCTCACCTGTTGTTTAATCCAACTGCTTTTACAAGGAAAATATTCTTAAACTTAGCTATGGTGCAAGTATTGTAGTGAACCATTCCCATTGCTGCCTCTGCAGAAGAAATTAAGACTTATTGGCAACAGCCTTCTTAATAAAACAAGTATTGATTTAATTTGGTATTTTACTTTACAGAGAGTTTTAATAACAAAGGGGAAATGAATCTACCTAAAAGCACGCTTCTTCTCTGTAGCAGAACAAACTTCACGTCACACTGTACCTCAGGGGTGTCCTGGCAGTGCCATAGCTCTTATGTGAAACTGGTTTGATCCTAAATTTCCTGTAGAGAGTACAGAGACATCCTTAATATCCTCAGCCTTGGATCAAATCCTGAGGGCAGCTGTGCTGGCCTGCTTTCTGCAGGGCTGATGTGCCAGGCAGGGACTGTGCCCACAGATGTTGGGGGGAAAGCGTGCTACCGAGCAATGCCTGCTTCTTCTAAACTCTTACAGACAGGGCTTTGTTCTGTGAGCTCCCGACCCAGTGCGGAGTTCAGAGCATAGCTCTGCTTAGCAAGATGCTGAAGGAAGACAGAAGGAAATGTATTTTAACTGGGTTTTTTAAAGTCCAACTATGTACAGATTTAATTTCCCTGGAACACCATCTCCATGATTCAAAGCCATGGCACTAACCTGGTACTGATGTACCTCAGAAGACACTAAAATATACTTCCACCCAACAAGACTTTGGTCGGGTACAGTGTTTATTTGTGCTTCCCTGCTCCTCTGTCATCACTGAACGGTCCATATCCAAAGCCGATGAAATCACTAGAAAGATGCCATGTCTCAGTGGGTGTTTAATCATTACTTAGTCCTTCACACTAGGGCTGGAAGCAGCTGTTCTGGCAAAGGGGAAAATAGAAGAAACACAGTTGCACAGCCACTTCTACGTCATGCCTGGGAACATGCAGTGGACCAGGTGCTAATGCAGAGCTGGACTCCTAAATCCACACCCACACAAAAAAATGTACACCAGGGGGAATCATGCAGCTGAGCAAAATATATGAGACGGCTCATATATTTTCACCTGTTTCTTGTTAATAATATGACTAAGGGGTTCATTAAGACTGCTCACGTGCCTCCCTTTCACCCTTCCAGGTGGCTTCTCCAACACAGAAAGGTATTCTTGGTTACCAGTATTTAGTATTTCATTTATTATTCCTTTCCTCTTAATTTGTTATCAGCTGCTCACACCGCTCCTAAATGGCTTTGCTGCATAGTCAGCCAGAGCACCTAAGGACCAGCTTTCATCCACCTAGATGAGGTTTCAGAAGGAGTTCTGCAGCCCAGGCTCAACAGTCCAGGGCTCAGTTGCTATAGCAATACAGGTTTCTTCATCAGCCTGCACACGCGTCCATGTTTGCGAGCATTCCGGACTTTGAGTCAGGCTTCAAGGCAAACATCAGGCATTTAACTGCTGGGCAGCCCTTGGAAAATAGTATGGTAAAAATGAGCAGTGCTGTGAGCATGTATCATTGATTTTTAGGCAAAAGTGGTATTTGCAGCCAATACTGTGCAATAGCAGTGCTTTTAAAAGTAGATGCACCTACTATAATATTTTATCTGGCTTTGCACGAGAGAGGCCACGAGGCTGGAACGCTCTCATGCACACAACTGCAGGGACAGCAACCTCTCAGTGTGCTAGGAGAATGGGGAGGATGGTGGAGTTGCCTAGAAAGACCAGGAGCATTTTAAAGCACTAATTATACATATCTGTGAGT